TGTTGTCCTTGAGATGTCATTGGATATGTTGCAGTAAAAAATTTTTTCGATAGAAACTTAATTGTATGTATATATTTGATTCCAGCCAATATCTGATAATTCCTTGCATTTGCAGTTACTTCGTGTCGAGGCCGAAAAGGGTAGAGGAATGATGAGCAAAGAGAAGGACGAACAAATTGAACGTCTGAAAACGGATTTGGGTCGTGCTCAGTTGAATACGCAACAGCTGAAAATCAGGTATGCAATAGTATTTGTGCGCCTTCTGCATAATACCGATTGATATCGTTTCATAAATGTTGTTTGATTGTATTTTTGTAAGTATGGATTATGACCATATTATTCTGATAGATGCGACCAATTGGAAGAAAGCAACGAACGTCTGAGAAAAGAATGTGAGGATGCCAAGAAATCGGCCGAGTCTGAACGACGTAACTCTACGGTTGTCGCTGACGAGAACAAGCAGTTGGAACGTTCCAATCAGGTGGTTATCATTTTGAATTTTTTCCCGTCTGGAATTTTTTCCGATGAAATGTATCGCTTTCTTAATCTATATCAATCGCTTTTTTTCTTGCAAAGATACAGAAATTCTACTTTGGAACTCCCACCCTCCCCCCATCTCCAAACGGTACCAACATTCAACAATTCTTATATCTATGATGTGGGTTTCCGAAGTGATTTCAAAGATGTACGGTTTCTTTGGAACAATTTTTATCCTAACATTTATCTATAAGCTAAACGTTGATTGATTATGAGCGATTTCGTTTGAAGATGTTAACGGAACAAATCGCCGAAATGCAATCAACGATGGAAAGTGCAAGAGAGAAGAACGATAAACTTGAGGATGAATTGGCCGATAGAAACGCTCTAATCACGAGACTTGAGACTGAGAACAGATCGAACATTATTGATATCAAGAAACTCACCGATCAGTTACAGGTTTCATTTGAAATCATTCGTGTGATATTATTATGATGATAGAGTCGGTTTTATATCTGCACTCAGCATACCGGTACAGTGCCTTGCAAAGTCGAAGTCAAGATAGATTCTGAAAGGTCTCGAAATCGGCGTGGTATTGCAGGTGATTAATCGCTCGCTCAGTATTGAGCAAAGTTTACGTTCAACAAAAATGTTCATTGAAATAAAGAGTGTTACGGGTGAAATAAATCAAAAGTTGCAATTGATTACGATCAGTATAGCGTACGTCATCTGATTGTTACATACATTTACGTCGAACGGATTGCTCAAAACTATTCAGTATGAAATTGGAAGCAAACGAATAACTCTGAAATGAATAATGTCGTTGGAAAGGAAGAAGATTGGGTGCGTTAAAAATCAGAAAGCATTACAGACGGCAACAAATGAAGGTGAAGTGTTACGTGAACGAATTGAAGCGCTCCAAAGTGAGACCGTACAGCTATCGGAAATGATCGAAGAATTGAACCGAGCAAAAGAAGCTGCCGAAGCTGTCGCACAACAGCACGCAGTCGCTGAAAATGTTTCAAATAGTGATGATCATGCGGCTCATGAGAGTGGAGGTTATTCTGCTTATATTGTGTAGTAATTTCGGCTTTGTTTAATTCTGCTTATATTGTAGTGTTTATTAGAAATAATTGTGTTGTCTGTCGTTCGAACAGTTTTCATAATGTTAATGTTTTTGAACTCTTCAAAAAAAGTGCTACACAGAATTTTTGCAATAATTTCCAATCACTTGGAAAATAGCAGTTTTCAATTTGAATTTTGGTACCGAATTCTTTTTCCATTCTTGAAAAATTCCACTCCAGTTTCCCGCATATGAAGTGTTATATTGTCTGTAATGTTAACACACACTAGCAAGCACAAGAGAGAGACAGATCTTGATTCACCCGTAGACTTCTCAATTTAGTGAATTGAAAATCTTCATTCTTTACTATCCTCAACAGTTTTTTTCGGTTTGAATTAGTCATTTATTTTTTTGAAGTACTCAACTCGTTGGTGATATTTTGTCAACGATTCCAAATGAAATGGCAAACATTTAGGATCTGGTGGATGGTCAGACGTTGGTGATTTCGATATTGAAACACCAGCGATAAACGACGAAAAGAAGAACGTTTCACCACCTTTAACAGCCAAGAATGTTCAACAACAACAAACAGCATCGAAAGGGAACGACAACTCCACCCTTCCGTCTCAAACGAAGAGCGGCAGCACCGGGGATATCATGGAGGTGGCTCGTCTTCGAGCCCAGTTGAAACGTCTTGAGATTGATCTCGATCAAACAAGGTTCGTTCCCATTTGATCAGATCTGGATCTTATTAAAAATCGGTGTTTATGGAATATTCACCACTCTTTATCCCAGGCGCTGAAAATAGTATTTCTGTGAGAATCTGAAGGTAATTTCAGTGAGTTTTTAGGGTGATTTATGAGATTGAGTGAATGTTAAGCAATNATTTCAGATTATCATTGCAAAAGGAAGAAAACGTTAGGGAGCATTTGACGCGTAAACTGGAATTGGCTGAATTGGAAGCGAATGAACGTAAAAAGGAGACTGAGGCGAAGGAATCAGAACGAGTGGATACACATAATCAGTGCAAGAAAATGCTTGCGATGGTCGAGGAAAGAGTGAGTTTTTCATGAGATTTTCATACAATTTCATTTGTTCTCTCGTAGAACGTTTGCTTTTATTAATGTGCTTTCGATTGAAATCAATTAAACGCTTTTTATCTCAAATTCGCCCAATTTTTCTGTTTGTTAAACTGATGTGTTTTTTGATGTCATTGAAGGATGTTAAACTGATATGTTTTTAATGTAATTGAAGGATGCAAAAATACGTCATTCGGAACAGTTAACAGAAAAGCTGAGAGATGAAATCGATAAATGGCAAACCGAAGTTCGACATCTCCAGGAACAGAATAAAGTTATCGAGAACAAACTTAACGTAGGAATCATCTTCATTCTTTGATTTGAAAATTTCATTGCTTCAATGAATTATTCATTCGTTTAATCGGCACACTTTTTTCCACATTCAAAGCGTTCTGAGCAGACAGGTTTAACGATTGATCATTTTGTAGGATGCCGAGCAGGAGTTGAAACGTCTTCGTGCAGAGAATAATCGTTTGGAGACACGACACTTCCACGAGATGCGTGAATGCAAGCATACGATTACTACATTGAGACAGGTGAGTCGACAACTGATCCATTATTATTTGTTATTATTATGGTCACTGTGGAAAATCGTGAAAAATCTATGAACACGTAGCTGGATATTCTCAATATGGTTGGTTTCATGGGATCAGTCGAGCAGTAATTAACGAGTGAATAATTTATATGAATTCACTTTTCAGTCACTCGAAGAGGCGCAGCGTATGGCAGCGACTGCGACTGCAGCCATTCCGCCGCAGTTGCCAGATAGTGGTGGCAATAATCTGATGAATTTATCGAGTAATGGATCGTCGGATCGCGAGTATCCGAGCGCTCATGCAATTGGCTCTCGGCTTGGTCCGCCTCCGTTGCCTGCGATCAGACCGCTTTGGGGTGATGATGAGGCCGCTGAAGTTGGTTCCCTGCCGTTGTTTTACGTTCCCTTTATTTTTCGTCATTGCATAATACTGTACTCTGGCAAATGAAGATCCCATGAGGAATGCTCGGTTGAAGTACAGTCGGTTTTGTATTGATTGTAAGGTGACAGTCATGGCATTAATTATTGTCTGCGCAGGCAAAGTTAAGCAGTTATTTATTACTACTGATGAGCAAAGTAACCAATCAAGATGACGGTAATAATGCTGGTACGAAAGAGATTGTTGATACAGTCATTTAATTCAGTTCAAAATCGAGAAATTTTGAAGGTGTTTTCGGCTGGTGAATCAATATCGTCGATGATGAGTGGACGTGGTTTAAGACACACGGCCACCTCACCGGATAACTTGTCCAGTGGCGTTCCACTGAAGAAAGGTAGCGTAAGGTCGAGACGTTCACAACGTGAACAACCCAGAAGAGAGGTTTCCCCGGAAATCGATCTTATGCAACACGCACCAAGACCGAAAAAGGTTATTAATCAGCATTTGTAATGAATTGATCGACCGAATTGTCGTATGCAAGGCTCATTTGCAAAGAAACTATCGAATATGATGCAGTCAGCTTGCCATGACAATGAATTTATATCACTGATTTTTTATCAATTTGTATCGTCTGCTACATTTTTGTTGCTAGTGGCATTCACAGAATTATGTTATGGTTTTACGTACCTGACGTTCGGACAAGAGTTTCTCTCATTGCCAGTGAATTTGGCGCAGGTTCTGTCTTCAATACTCCAGATGAATAGCATAGAATACTAGCAGTTTTTTTTTGGGACGTTTGACCTTATCGGAAAATCAACCCGACTTTACAACGTGACTTTGTTGGGTATTCCTCAAACGATCTGAGCTCCATGCTTATGCTCTTTCAAGTAGCCATCTGCGAAACGGTTTCGAACTGGAACATTCCGTTCGGAGAAATGCGGCGATATTCTTGGGATCGGTATTGATTGATCAGTTGGAGTGGTTTCAGGAGGGTCGTCGAATGCGTTCACGATCGCACGGACGACATCCGTTCTTGACGAATGCTCCTTCGTATATGATGATGCAACCGCCCGCATTCCCTGACCTGTTCAGCGATCATCCACCCCCACCAACATTACCTTTCCAGCCGTCACTTCATAAACGAAACTCCAAGAGTGGCAATTTGTACTATTCGTCTGGTGGTTCAAACGGTGGTCTTTCGCCTCCACCTGAAATGGCACTCCTTTCTGGTGTCCCACCGCCCGGTATGTCGATCAGAAAACCAACAGCAACATCCAGACCTAAAAGTTGGTTTTCTTTTTTGTTCCTTTTGACAGTCCTGACGATTGTTTCTTTGACCCACTTGAATTGGTCCAAAATTTGAAACCAACCATTCAGCGTATTGTTGTTGTTTGTTGTTTCTACGAAAGAGCTGTCATAAATGATGTTCGTTGCAAATTGCTGCTTTCATTGACGGTCGAATTGTCAGATTATCAGGAATTAGATTGATCTCTGTCATTTGTGTATCGCATCAGCATTTATTCTTTTCAGGTGTTGCTGAACAAATGGCAAGGCATCAGAATTGAGTTGTTTTTTTGGCTGTTTTTACGCTTATTCGGTGACAAATCAATGCGGAACTCTTTTTTTTCTTGTTTTCTTCTATCCGTTTATCTCCACTTCTACCGTTTCTTTCAACATTACGTTTCGACCTAATTGAACGTGTGTTTTTGTCAAGCATCTGCCTGGATTTTTGTTTTTTCGGCACACAGCAGGTATTATTTCTTCATTGTAAGATGATCATGGGAGAAAAGTGAAAAGTTGTTCCAACAANTGGTGGACGAAACCTCTTATTTATTACCTGATATATCGATAATTTCTTGGAGCCTTTGAGCAAAGATTTGGAATTAGTTCATCGTGTTCTGAATTTGAGCTGAAAAGTTTAGTTGAGCTGAGAGAATGAATAACATTTAGAAACGTTTCGGTTTTGTTTTTGTATTTTTGTGTGTTATGCTCTTGGTTGTTTCTCGATCAACTAGAACAATACTGAACTTTGTTTTGTTTGGAATTGAGAGGATATTGGTAGTACCGTGCGTTGAAGTGAATGTTTTGTTGGTCAATACTGGTCGATTGGTATTGTCGTTGATCGTATCGGTTATCTGTTCTATTGTATTATGCCTTTTGTAGTACAAATAGAGCCGTATAATTTGCATTGATGTGATCATATGGTTTGATAGTGATGCTATGGAATCAACTGTTTCTACTTGAAGAGATTTTGAGTTGAATTCAAAAGATTATCCGATTAGGGGTTGTTTATTCGTCAAATACAATTCGGGTGTGGACTTGAATGTTCATCAATTTGCTCTAGTTTTCAGAGCAAGACAAAATCATCATCGAGTAGAATAGAGATAGTTGTCCATCTTTTNTATTGGGAGGAGTGGTGATTATGGATGAAAATTTCCGTTGAAATTAGCTGCTGGCCTATTGACCTTTCATTTCATTCGTTCGATTCATACATTCGAGTCCGCGCAATTCGTATATGGTTTAAATGACGGTTGGTTTCATTACATCAGACCATATTTTACAGTCCGTGTGCTGTTGTTCAGTTCTGATTTATTGTCACATTGTCGGGTTGACTTCATCGGATCCGGGAAGGTTGATTACGATTGTGAAAGCTGATCGCATTGGGTCTTTTTGTGGAACTATGGGCAGAATATATTCGTGCGCATTTTCTCAGCCTGGGAAACAGTACTGGGACGAGTTTCATATCTATTCCACAATCGCAGATGTATTCTGTCTGATGTTTCTGATGGTATTCTCGAATACATAATAGGTGAAAGTGTTGCCTTTTTCTGTCAGAAATCGATTAATTTATTATTATCACTGTTATATTCCATTATCATTACTACAATCATTTTAATGTCAATACTGTTGTTATTATCATTATTATAAGTCTCATGGTTTTTACTGTTTTGGTCAAAAATAGGGGTGATAAAATTTTATGTAAACGTTCTTCAGCAGTGATTCGTTTCCTTTGAACATTCTTGTCTTGAGCAGTTGTCATCAGTGTGATACAAATAAAAACGTTGTCGAAATGTACAGTCGAAAGAACATTGAATACTAGTGAGTATTGCATGATCTATTGAGATTATAGACCGGGTATATCATACGCACTGTATTTGTAACTAGCGATTTCAATAAGATAACGAAACCTAAAGGCATTTTATAACCCTTAACTTTTACGTTAAGAATGATTCAGTAAATTATACGTTGATATGGAGTTCATGGATATGCAAAATGAATTAAACTGATACAATGGAGTTGATGGATATGAGGTCGGAGGTTTCATTTTTCGATGTAATCGATCAATGATATTACACTGGAACCACCAGAACATGTTCAATAGAGATTAGCCATTGTGGTTGATCATTGAGATAAGTTGATTATGATTATTCGAAAAATGGGACGCAATTTTTTGAAAGAATAAGACGATGTTGGCAAATGCGAACGAGAAAGAAGGTCACAGGGATGTGTGAGCGAATAAGGTGGAAATGATGAAGGGTGATTTTAGTAGTGATGAAATGAATCAAGAAATTGATCATGAGTCATGACTCAGATCTGTTGAATGATATTAAATTGATTGAGCATATGCGTGCCGTGTATATGTTCGACTGCATCCAATTGATTACCAATTAATTCATACTCAGTTGTTTAGGCATTACCGTAGAATATTAACAGAAGGGGAGAATTTCCTACAGATGTATGGAACTGTGTGTTTTTATTTGATTATTATTTTCATTTTTACTTGTTGTTAGCCATTAATATTCATCATCAACTTGAGGCTTCTTCAAAGGTATCAACGGTAATACTGAGTGTTATTTTCTCCACTCTATTTTGATCGTCCAATTTCCCGTCTTATTTTTGATCGCCATCTATTTCTCTTCTGAGTCCTTACTATCATGTTTTTTCTTCACTGAAATTTTCCTACACTCATACGTCTCACGACAAGTTTAATTTTTTGGTAAATTATCTGAAGGTGTTTTTATCAAGCAGCAGTAATACTGCTATTGATGACGTTAATGATAACATTCATAAGGTGATAATAATGAAAGTATTATTCGTACTGCTCATTAACTTGATCCATTCACAAACATTCGCCGCAACACCGTCGATGTCATCGTATTCGATGGAATGTGAACGTGGCTATCGAGTATCGGCAATTTATCGACATACTTCATCTTATCAAAAATCTGGTGCACTAACCATTTATTGTGACCTCATTGAAAAAGATACCTCACTTGTTGGTTGTTTATTCACTGTAGTTATTACTTTTATTTTCGTTATCAATATGATCATCATCATTGTCTTATCCAGTTTTTGCAGTGATCATAACTCAATAATTTCACAAACACTCATTTTCTGATAAATTTTTTTGGTGAACACTCATGAGCCTATACATATTATTATCAGTATACTGTACTACCTATTCTATCATGAGAATCGAAGGTACTGTCATTCATACGAATTCGGATGCATTCTTCAAGGGAGGGGGCAGGGGAGGATTGTAATTACACCGATCTTCGTGAACGTTATCTTTACGATTCATTTAATGAGATCGAATTGTTCTCTTGCTTTATTCCATCGAAGTTGCAGCAAAATTCTTTTCATGTACCCATTTAAAGCTGCATCCGACCAGAAGAAGAGGAAAGTGTTCAGCGGCTTCCAGGAAAAACCAGTGAATGAAAATAGATGTAATGAACCACTGTTCGTTGTGTTCAGTGGTGATTACTAGTAAGCAACATGCATTAATAAATGAATATTCATACTCAGCTGATATTCCGATCAATTCATTATTCAGGTGCAATGTGAGCGATTGCCGAGCGCACCGCAATGCTCCGGTGCTCCGGAAGGTTGTATGGGGGCAACGTGGTTAGCCGGCTTTCATGCGTACATGGTCGAGGAGAGCACAGAGGCGACATTGTATGAGTTCACACTTTTAAATAAATCGAGTTCTCATCTTGTATCATTCAACAGCCATCTTCAAGTAGCGTATTCACGACAAAAGAGTGATCAATAAATATTCTGATCAGTGATCGAAATAATTTTTTTTTGGGATTCCTGACGGAAATCGGGGATTTTAAAAGTATTGACGATGTAGCGTTATGTAGATCTATGACAACAGGACTCCACGGCAAAGGGTTATTGACAAAGGATATTCAAGGCAAGAAATCCAGTAAAATAAAATATACTCCAGGTGATTCTTCCCTCACCCTTGAAATTTGAAAGACAAGCATGATTCGATTGTTGTATTTAGATTCGAGCCAATCTGTTGTGGTTCATCGAACGTACTTGTGAATGAGGAGTCGTGCATTCATGATCGATTGAATCAAGCCTTGCAACCGTATGAGCATGCAATTGCACGTGATTTAATTTATCGCGGTCTGCAGTGCTGGCATCAATACAATCAGAACAACACATTAGTTGATATCATTTGGAAGCTTGAAATATGCGCTTTCGAAACATCAACAAGCCTCGCCAACCTTCTCTCAAGTCAGTTCAAAATACTCCCTCAGTTTTCACGCTCATGGTTTCCGTCCTGAATGCATTCGATTGTTTCGAAGTGTTTTTGTAAGCATTGAGTAAATTGATAAATTTCGCATATCGAGTCTGATAGACCCGAAACCAGTGATACTGATAATATTAATAACGATGAGAATAATAATGTTCTGAAGAGATGAGTCACTGTAATGATGATACTATTTAAGCGATAATGATTATGTGTATGCACATACAATGATCATGATAATAATTTCACTGTTCGCATAGGCTCCATTAGGAATGCAGTTGGTTCGAGTAAGTTGTGTTATTTGTCAGCTTTCCGGAATTGTTTGATGGATTCGAGAATGCTTTCAGNACGGTCGATATCCCATCAAAGTGATCCATCGCAAATTCTTGAAAATGAATACTTGTGAGTGCAAATGTAAATGTGTTTATAAATGTGTTTAAATACCTGATTTGTTTTCTTTTCAATCAGTCAACGAAATACACCCTCGAATTCGAAGTTCTTGGGAAGAAATTATACGGGACTATCTTTGGCAATGTTCAGATATTAAAAGCATCAGTTAAAATAAATATTCAAAATGGACGTTCCAACGGAACAAGGGAACAACGACGAAGTCGCTTATCTGTGCATGCCAACGGAATGAGAAAAGCAGATTGATGAAAAGTGGTCTTTGTTGAGACGTCGCAAGCAATGCTTCAGTTACTTTACTCAACCTGTTGGAGGTTCTACAGTCTTAAAGTGATCACCTTGAGCTATCCAACGCCGACATTGCAATAGGAATAGGCATCAGGTTCTTTCTTCTCATTGGACTTGATGTCGTTGTCTTGTTGACGATGTTGATTGGGGTCTTTCGAAGAATTGCTATAAAACCTGAGCGCTTGACTCTGATTTGCTGATCGCCTCAATTGGGTGTGCTGCGAATTTCGATCGCTCGGTTGGATTTGACCATCTTATTTGTTCTCGTATTTCCACTATGATTTGGAGTTTTGAACACAATTGATCAGCGTTCCATTCAAGGGTGCGTAGCTTTTCGTATTAGATTTCAAGCAGTGCCTATTTATGCAAGTCATCCTCGAGAGGCGTTTCCAGAAACGGTTCAAGTGTTCATAAAGTCCAGTGGAGTAGTGGCCAGGCAGGATCCATCCATGAATGTAAGAACGTGCGCATACTGCGATGTGTGTGTGGTGTGTTGCACTAGCACTGAAGATCTGTAACGTTCATTCATCCTCAGCGTTCGGTTTCGAGGCAGTACTTTGGTACTATGAATGAGGTTACAAGTTGATTTATGACCAGCAATGCCCAATTTGAAAAAATTGTTTCAACCACGGATACGTGTTCTTAACATTTTCGACTCCGGTTTTGTCCATTTAGGGAATCATGCTTTAGGGAAGCATATGTAGTATTCAAGTAAAGCTGGCAAATTGTCGACCAACTTTGTCAAGTAAAAAAGAACTTGTCGCCTATGTGTCTTTAATTGCCTAGTCTCTTCCCACTCATAAATTTTCCAACGAATTTGTCTGTGAATAGAAGTACAGATGGAAGTCGCAACAATAAATAAATGAAAGGTAACAATTTTTCACTCTTAGCTACTGCAAATGATACAAATTTCTACTCTTAGCAACCTCATTCAGGGTTGCTAATTGTAAGAGTAGAAATTTGTATCATTTGCAATAGTATGATTTGAGGTCGAGCTGCTTAGTTGAGTGGTTTTCACAGATGAAGTGCCTCGTTCCGAAAACGTAGATCGTGTTCGTGAACTTGCACGAATACAGTTGAAAGAGCCAACTGTAATTGCAGTTTTATGCATCAACATTTTACTCACATATAGCTTGTTAATGTTGAGCAGTTCTAAACGTGTTATGGTGTGTTCAGTGCAAGATTATGTGTAAACATGTTTCATGTGACATGATCTTTGTGCTCATAGAGCTGATGAGAACTGCATCGATCGATCGATCAATCGCTCGATTATCTTATCATCGATAGGTTTGGTCTCTTAAAGGACAATGCTTATCTTCACATAAACAAAGATATTTTCGTTCATATGCAAACATTGCTGTGTAGGCATTAATGATCGGCAACTTTCTTTGCCTAGTATTTCAGCCAACCATCAGTTGACACGAAATGAATGAAGGCATTAGTGGTTGACAAGAATCAGATATCTTTCTAACGATATCTGTAAGAGAGGTATCTGGCTCATTTCACCAAAATCCTTCTTTCTTCTCGGTCATTAACCTGCTTGTGCATGCAAAATTATAATGTTCACAACTTCCAACTATTGTAAAGCACACAAGAAATTTGTTCATAATTTTGGTGTTGTTATCCATGGAATGATTCTTCTTAAAAACAGTATGATGAGTCCACATCCTGCAGAATCGACAGCGAAGTATTGAAACTTTCACGGTTTTATTGCTTTGTGACAATAATTACCCAATGTCTTTTTGCTGCACAGTCATCACTCCTCGTTAATTTTCAACTTAAATTCAGCCAAAGGGAAATATTTGTCGCGAAGATCGCGATATAACGCTGCTCCAAGCATCAAGTGATTGAATTGAATGTGTGTGATACAGTGCTTAATAGTGTGGCATTGTGTCGCCTTAGAATGGATCACCAATGTTGTTCAGTGTTGCTATGTNAAACAATTTGGAACGTCGAAGAAAAAGGACGTAATCAATTCTGACTGAATATTCAAATTATTCAGATTACAATAGGATCACCTCAAACTGAGAATTGTTAGTTCGCTGCTATGGTAATAGTCTGGAGTCATTTTGACCCATCGACACTGTTATTGTTATTGATGCTGAACGACCCATCGACACTGTTATTGTTATTGATGATTATTCCTGCCACTATTGCGAAAAAAATCGTGATAAATTTTTCTTTCGGAATTAAGAGGCAATGCAGTCAGCAAATAATATGTAAACAATTTCGACACTGGGTCGGTTTTTACCAGTGAAGTTTCATCATCCACTTTATTCACTCTGTGCAATTTCCAGTAGTACTTCCCTAACTCTGGTTGTTTACATTGCAAGTACTCCATTTCATAACTGTTTCTTCATCAATAACTGAATCGATGACAGCATGCAACAAACTCCCACCATCATTTGAACCCTCTATGATAACATAACATGAACACGGTTAAACCAAACGAGTCTACATCCTCAAGATGGGTTTTCTGCACTCATTACCTTAATAATACTTTAAGATCAAAAAATCATTGCCGGTTAATATTTCAAACCGATTGATAGGTTGCCTCACAATCACACACCTTTTGGTTCATATTGATGTTAGACAATGAGCGAAAGAATAATCAGCATGAAGGGTACGTTGTGGACTGCTCAGCTAATGCACATCTCGTCCAATATCAACCTGCATACTCGTTTCATTTCTCGTCACTGATGGCACCACTTTACAACCAGCAACGAAAATTCAGCCGTTAGTGTTCAAAGAGCTGCAAGGCGAAGCGAATGCTTTCGAAAGCATTATCATTCAAGTCTTATCAGTTGTGATGAACTCTGTTTATCTCAGCCAGCTTCATAAGCGCTTACATTCCCATGATTTGTCACTAAACAATTTGATTGTGAAATATTCACCAATACCTTCACATTCCGAAAAAAAAGAGCATTTTCACAATGACTGTTAATTGTCACGATGATCATGAGTGATTGTAAACGATAATAAGGGATCGAAATTAGGTTAGCAAAACGAAAATTCGATTGATCGAGTAAATTCCCAATTCATCCAAACTTTTCTCATTGTTTTCCGTAAATAAGCTGGCATGAAAATTTCCCAATTTTCCCGATCATTCAACAAGTTAACAATTTCAATTTGGTTGTGTAATATTCACCAACAACTTCACATTCCGAGATTTCTGCGATCGTTTCGATCAGTTACGGCCGTAAAAGTTAAGTTTCGCAAGACATTCAAGTGGAGATTTTGTTCACTCATTGAAATGCTCGATTAAATCACTTTCTAATCACACTGGAAAGTGACTTAATTTTTGGTTTGACGACCATCATTCGTACAAAAGAATTCTTTAAATAATTAAACAATACGGTCTACGCGCAAGCTGTACTTCAATTCTACATACCACACACAGTCATTATTTTCTGATTGACATCTTCTTCGATAGTGATGAACGATAAAGAGGGATTTTATTCCATGAAAAAAGCGCAATAAGAGACGTTAAGTATGCGTCAACAACGACCGAATTTTATGAGTATAAAGTGAACGAAAGAAATGTATGCATTAGAAGGATGAACTTTTGATTATTCTGCAAAAAGTTTTTCACTTCAATAGATGACAGTATTGCTCGTATATTAAGGGCAAACGATAAAGCAGATTATGTTTTATGGGTTTGTTTACAGTGATTGTGCATGTGACTTTTGGTGTTGTGAAACGATTCATTCAATGCTATTTTAAAATGACCTTACGAAGCGCGTGATGCTTTTTTACATCAATCGTGATCGATCGTATTCAATCGAATGGCTTTGTGGATGGTGTATTAGTTGATTAATAAATTTATTGCACTACGGTTGAACGTAAACAACGCAGAAAATCACTCACCGCATTTCTTTATTTCAAGTAATTTTCGATGTTTGTGAACATAAATTTAGAAGAACAGAAACAATTTCGCGTTGCTATAGCGAATACGGGATCATGATTTATTTGAAAGAGCTGAGTCGTTCTGCGAAAAAAAACAACTACACATTTCATGAAATTCTTTCCTGATACTTGAATTATATTCTGTTTTGAGATTTTTTTTTCGACCGAACATCCGCACAATCTTGTTTGATAGTGCGATGAAATTTGTCAGTATTCTCACAATGAAATTTGTCAGTATTCTACTCAACATTCACGCAGTTGACGGCAATCAAATGATTCGCTCTACTGCAATTCTTTACATCAATTTTGTCGACCGCAGTTGAGATTTTCACATGTATTCATTCCTTCAGTGAATCAAACACTGAGGGCACAAATCAATGAACTATGGCTGCACGCAGTTCCCCGTTCTTTTCGGATGCTTTCGAACGGCAGTTC